TATCGAAGGATATGAAATTATTTAAACGAAAATAGAAGGATATAGACGAATATAGACGGACATAGATGGTTACAGAATGATATAGGCAGATATAGAAGGATATAGACGGAAATATAGGGATTTAGAAGGATATACAAATACATAGAGGCGTATAGATGGAAATAGAACGTTATAAAAGAATATCGACGGATATAGAAAGAGTTAGGCGTATACAGAAGGATATAATCGGAAATAGAAGAATTTAGGAGGATGTATATATAAAGCTAGAGGAAAATATAGGATGTAGAAAGAAATAGAGAAGTATAGACGAAAATAGAAGGATAGATATAGAATGTTATAGAAAGATATAGGCGGAAATCGAAGTATATAGAAGGTTATAGAAGAGTATCGACGGATATAGAAGCATTTAAGCGAATATAGGAGGATATAGTCGATAATAGAAAGATGGAGGAAGATGTTAAAGGATCTCGAAGGAAATAGAATTATACAAACGAAAATAGAAGAATACAGATGGATATAGACAGTTCTAGAAAGATATCGACGGACATGGATGGTTATAGAATGTTATAGGCGGATATAGAAGAATATAGATGGGTATAGATGGAAATAGAAGGATATAGACGGAAATAGGGGGATCTAGAAGGATATAGAAAGATACGGAGGGATAGCCGGAAATAACGGGATTTAGAAAAATATCGACGTACATAGAAGGAGTTATAGAAAGATGTAGACGAATATAGAAAGATTTAGGCAGATATAGAAGGATATAATCGGAAATAGACAAATTTAGGAGGAACTAGAAGGATATAGAGAGATATAGTAGGTTATAAAAGAGTATCGCCGGATATAGAAGGAGTTACAGAAAGATATAGACGAATATAGAAAGATTTAAGCGGATATAGAAGAACATTAGTTGGAAATAGAAGGATACAGAAAGATGGAGAAAGATATAGAACGATATCGAAGGATATGGAATTATATAAACGAAAATAGAAGGATATAGACGAATATAGACGGACATAGATGGTTACAGAATGATATAGGCAGATATAGAAGGATATAGACGGAAATATAGGGATTTAGAAGGATATAGAAATATATAGAGGCGTATAGATGGAAATAGAACGTTATAAAAGAATATCGACCGATATAGAAAGAGTTATAGAAAGGTATAGATGAATATAGAAAGATTTAGGGGTATATAGAAGGATATAATCGGAAATAGAAGAATTTAGGAGGATGTATAAAGCTAGAGGAAAATATAATAAGATATAAACTGGTATAGAAGGATGTAGAAAGAAATAGAGAAGTATAGACGAAAATAGAAGGATAGATATAGAATGTTATAGAAAGATATAGGCGGATATCGAAGTATATAGAAGGTTATAGAAGAGTATCGACGGATATAGAAGGATTTAAGCGAATATAGGAGGATATAGTTGGAAATAGAAAGATGGAGGAAGATGTAAAAGGATCTCGAAGGATATAGAATTATACAAACGAAAATAGAAGGATACAGATGGATATAGACAGTTCTAGAAAGACATCGACGGACATAGATGATTATAGAATGTTATAGGCGGATATAGAAGAATATGGGTGGGTATAGATGAAAATAGAAGGATATAGACGGAAATACGGGGGATTTAGAAGGATATAGAAAGATACAGAGGGATATAGCCGGAAATAGGAGGAAATAGAAAAATATCGACGGACATAGAAGATGTAGACGAATATAGAAAGATTTAGGCAGATATAGAAGGATATAATCGGAAATAGACAAATTTAGGAGGAACTAGAAGGATATAGAGAGAAATAGAAGGTTATAAAAGAGTATCGCCGGATATAGAAGGAGTTACAGAAAGATAGAGACGAATATAGAAAGATTTAAGCGGATATAGAAGAATATTAGTTGGAAATAGAAGGATACAGAAAGATGGAGAAAGATATAGAACGATATCGAAGGATATGGCATTATATAAACGAAAATAGAAGGAAATAGACGAATATAGACGGACATAGATGATTACAGAATGATATAGGCGGATATGGAAGGATATAGATGAAAATAGAGGGATTTAGAAGGATATAGAAATATATAGAGGCGTATAGATGGAAATAGAACGTTATAAAAGAATATCGACGGATATAGAAAGAGTTATAGAAAGGTATAGATGAATATAGAAAGATTTAGGCGTATATAGAAGGATATTTTTATTTTATTTTTTTTATTATTTTTTTTTTTTTATTCTATTACGTCCCCCAACAGGCACCGAGGCCCAATTACAGGGGAACGGGACATACACGTTACACCCAGAGCCATGGCGGGAATCGAACCCACGACCCAAGGTGTAGCGGGCAAGCATGATGCTAACTAGCCCACCCCGGGTCCTCCTCCGATATAATCGGAAACAGAAGAATTTAGGAGGATGTATAAAGCGAGAGGAAAATATAGTAAGATATAAACTGGTATAGAAGGATGTAGAAAGAAATAGAAAAGTATAGACGAAAATATAAGGATAGATATAGAATGTTATAGAAAGATATAGGCGGATATCGAAGTATATGGAAGGTTATAGAAGAGTATCGACGGATATAGAAGCATTTAAGCGAATATAGGAGGATATAGTCGGAAATAGAAAGATGGAGGAAGATGTAAAAGGATCTCGAAGGATATAGAATTATACAAACGAAAATAGAAGGATACAGATGGATATAGACAGTTCTAGAAAGATATCGACGGACATAAATGGGTATAAAATGTTATAGACGGATATAGAAGAATATAGATGGAAATAGAAGGATATAGATGGAAATAGGGGATCTAGAAGGGATAGCCGGAAATAGCGGGATTTAGAAAAACATCGACAGACATAGAAGGAATCATCGAAAGATATAGACGAATATAGAAAGATTTAGGCGGATATAGAAGGATATAGTCGGAAATAGAAGGATATAGAAAAATATAGGAAGATGTAGATGGACATAAATGGTTATAGAATGATGTAGGCGTATGTAGAATGATATAGACGGGTATAGATGGAAATAAAAGGGTGCAAAAGGATATAGACGGAAACAAAAGGTTTTAGAAGAGTATCGACGGATATAGAAGGAGTTATAGAAAAATTTAAGCGAATATGGGAGGATATAGTCGGAAATAGAAGATGTAAAAGGATCTCGAAGGATATCGAATTATATAAACGAAAATAGAAGGATACAGATGGATATAGAATGTTATAGAAAGATATCGATAGACATTGATGATATAGAAGAATATAGATGGGTAGAGATGGAAATAGGGGGATCTAAAAGGATATAGAAAGATACGGAGGGATAGCCGGAAATAGCAGGATTTAGAAAAACATCGACAGACATAGAAGGAATTATCGAAAGATGTAGACGAATATAGAAAGATTTAGGTGGATATAGAAGGATATAGTCGGAAATAGAAGAATATAGAAAAATATAGGAAGATGTAGATGGACATAAATGGTTGTAGAATGATGTAGGCGTATGTAGAATGATATAAACGGGTATAGACGGAAATAGAAGGGTGCAAAAGGATATAGACGGAAATAAAAGATTATAGAAGAGTATCGACGGATATAGAAGGAGTTATAGAAAGGTATAGAGGAATATAGAAAGATAGAGTCGGAAATAGAAGGATTTAGGAGGATATAGAAAGATGGAGGAAGATATAAAAGGATCTCAAAGGATACAGATGGATATAGAAAGTTATAGAAAGATATCGATAGACATAGATGGTTATTTATAGGCGGATATAGAAGAAAATAGATGGGTATAGATGGAGATAGATGGGTATAGATGGAGATAGAAGGATATATATGGAGATAGAAGGATATAGACGGAAATAAGTGAATCTAGAAGGGTATAGAGAGATACGAAGAGATAGTCGGAAGTAGAAGGGTTTAGAAAAATATCGACATACATAGAAGGTGTTATCGAAAGATGTACATGGACATAGTCGGTTATAGAATGAAATAGACGGAAATAGAAGGGTACAGAAGGATATAGACGGAAATAGAAGGTTATAGAAAGATATAAACGAAGGAGGATATAGTTGGAAATATAAGGATTTAAAAGGTTGTAGAAATATGGAGGAAGATATAGAAGGATATCGAAGAATATGGAATTACATATATAAAGAAAAATAGAAGAATACAGACGAATATACACGGACATAGATGGTTACAGAATGATATAGGCGGAAATAGAGGGATTTAGAAGGATATTAAGCCCAATTCTGAATCAAACATGTTAAAATTTAAAGGTTGTTAAAAAATAAACAGCCAATCAGATTTACGAATTTAACTGTCTTAAAAAAGACACTAGGAATCCAGAGATTTTATTTATTTTATTTTTCTTCAAAAACAACGTTGTGGAACCAAACAAATTTTCCATGAAACCAACAGGGGCCCCTTATAAATTGGTACAAAATAAAATTGACTCAATTGTATTTTTTTTTTTTTGATAATTTTGTCGATTATACATTAAGATACATTTTTATATTTTCTAAACATTGGAAGTTTTTTCCAAAAATCTAATTTCTATATACAAAATTACCCCAAAATTTTCAAAATATGTCCGTGTAATACTGATAATGATGACTTGGTAATCAATAATTTGTTACATTTTTATTCTTGTTATTAAAACAACCGGTAAAGAACGAAGATTTTTTTAGCCACCTCGGGACAAAATCCGCTAGTTATTTTCCATTCGTGGAAATCAGAAACCCAACATCGGTCAAATCACGTTTCGCCTAGAGCGAAACACCGAAAAAAAATCCCATACAAATAACGTGCCAAAGCAAAAAACATTTTTTGCCGCAATTCAAGCTCTCGATAGTGTTATTAGCTTAATAAGGTGACATTTCCGCTCCACAATCACCTCGCACGCGATGCTGGTACACACCGTGATTTTACCAATTACTCTTAATGTCTGAAAAAACCTAGTCAAAACCTAATCACTTGTTTCTCTAGGCAGGCGCCTCCCTCACCAACCTCAACGGCAAAGCCGACGCCCCCGAGGGCCAGATCAAGTTCGGCTGGATCCAGGGCGTCCTCATGCGGTGCCTCCTCAACATCTGGGGCGTGATGCTCTTCCTGCGCCTGTCCTGGGTGGTGGCCCAGGCCGGCGTCGGCGAGGCCGTCCTCCTCATCCTCACCACCACCGTCGTCACCTCCATCACCGCCCTGTCCATGTCGGCCATCAGCACCAACGGCGTGATCAAGGGCGGCGGCACCTACTACATGATCTCGCGCAGCCTGGGCCCCGAGTTCGGCGGCTCCATCGGGCTCATCTTCGCCCTCGCCAACGCCGTGGCCTGCGCCATGTACGTGGTGGGCTTCTGCGAGAGCTTGGGCTCGCTTTTGGGCACCCACGGGCTGTCCATCATCGACGGCGGCGTCCAGGACGTGCGCATCGTGGGCGCTATCACCATCGTGGTGCTCACGATCATCGTGGTGGTCGGAATGGAGTGGGAGGCGAAGGTGAGTAACTAATAACAGTTGGACCGTACTGAGTATGATTGTGATTCCAGGCTCAAGTCGGTCTTCTGGTGATCCTCCTAATAGCGATCGTGGACTTCTTCATCGGAAGCCTCATCGGCCCGGACGAAGACGCCAAGTCTAAGGGCTTTGTCGGCTACAACTGTAACCACGGTAACAACGAAGACAAGCCAAAATCAAACTTGCTTTCTTTTAGTAACGATTTTTCGAGAGAATTTTTACTCGGACTATAGGAAGTCGCAGGGGGTTGAGCACAACTTCTTCACAGTGTTTGCGGTGTTCTTCCCGGCGGCGACGGGAATTCTAGCTGGGGCTAATATTTCCGGGGACCTGAAGGACCCGCAGAAGAGCATCCCCAAAGGGACTCTGCTTGCCATCGCCGTCACCACGTTGTCGTACATCCTGATGGCCTTCGTGTGCGGTTTCACGGTCTTGAGGGACGCCGCAGGCCCTTTGAATTACACGATCACCAACCTAACAGATCTCACCAATTTGACAGTTCCGGAAGTGGCTAACGTCACTGAAAATGTTACGAGTTTTGTCAATAGGACCGAGGTTGTGGAGGCTCTGGAGCCCTTGGTGTACCGATATGGGTTACATAACGACTTTCAAGTGGTTGAGTTGGTGTCATGGGTCGGACCCATCATCTACGCTGGGTGCTTCGCGGCCACCTTATCCTCAGCACTAGCGTCTCTGGTGTCCGCCCCCAAAGTCTTCCAAGCGCTATGCAAAGACAAATTGTACCCAGGAATCGAGTGGTTCGCCAAAGGGTATGGAAAAAACAACGAACCCATCCGTGGGTACATTCTCACTTTCGTGATCGCAGTGGCTTTTATCCTAATCGGTACTACCACGCAAGCACCATATCGTACTACCCTAATCACTGTTAATTGTAGGCCAGCTCAACATAATTGCCCCTTTGATATCTAACTTCTTCCTCGCCGCTTACACCCTGATCAACTTCTCTACGTTCCACGCTTCTTTAGCCAAACCAGTGGGCTGGAGACCCACCTTCAAGGTACCACCTCCCATAGTTTGTCAATCTTAAAACTGGCCAAATTTTTGTTACTAGTACTACAACATGTGGTTGAGCCTCGCCGGCGCCGTCCTCTGCGTCCTCGTCATGTTCTTGATCTCCTGGTGGACCGCCCTCATCACCTTCGCCGCCGTCCTCGCCCTCTACTTAATCGTGTCGGTGCGCAAGCCCGACGTCAACTGGGGTTCCACCACGCAGGCCCAGATCTACAAGAACGCCCTCCAAGCCGCCCACCAGCTCAACAACGTGGAAGAGCACGTGAAGAACTACAGGCCCCAGATCTTGGTACTATCGGGCATGCCGAGCGCGCGCCCGGCCCTGGTGGACTTCGCCCACTTGATCACCAAGAACCAGTCGATGCTGGTGTGCGGGCACATCAACACGGTACTACCTCATACTCCACCCCCCACCACCAACCAACTCGATTGTTTGTTCCAGAGCCGGCTCCACCAGCGCGTGCGCAACGTCCTGAACTACAAAGCCAACAACTGGTTGAGGGCGCACAAACTCCGGGCGTTCTACATGCAGGTGGACGGGCAAAACTTCGAAGAGGGGTGTACGTCGTTGTTGAAGGCGTGCGGGATCGGGAAGTTGCGGCCGAATATTCTGCTCATGGGGCACAAGTCGGATTGGCAGAAGTGCTCGAAGGACGACTTGGACGAGTACTTTGGAGTGCTACAGTAGGGTTGTCGGATTTTGAGAGAGGGGTTTTCATGGTGTGTTTGCAGCAAGGCGTTCGACCTGCATCTGAGTGTTGGGATTCTGAGGCTGCAGGAGGGGCTGGATTTGAGTCAGCACGAAACCGCCTCCAAGACTAAGAATAGTACGGAGTCGCTGCCCCGGAACCAGTCGTACAGCCAAATGTCGCAAGGTAGGGACCGTGACGTCGTGTGAATGCATCTCTTGTCTTTGAGATTTCGTTTTTGAAAAAATCGCGGCGGCTTTTTGTGTCTGAGTTATTTAAGTAGTTTGATAGAACGTCTGGTTTTTGAAGTAATTTGAAAGAATCTCGGAGATCATGTTTGATTTTTGAAGTAGTTTGAAAGAATCTCGGGATGCCTTGGTGTCTTGCTTTTGATGTAGAATCAAACACGTATAGACGGAAATAGTAGGATATAGAAGGATATAAACGGAAATAAAAAGTTATAGACGGAAGTAGTATATAGAAGGTAAAGGAAGATACAGAAGCGTATTAACGCATATAGACGAATGTAAAATTATATAGATAGATATAGACGGATATAGAAGGTTATGGGCGGATATAGAAGGATGTATACAGATATAGACGGTCGATAGAGAAAGATTTAGGCGGGTATAGAAGGGGATATAGACGGATGTGGACGGAAAATATGTGCTTTTCATATTTCGAGTTTTCAAGGTTTGAATTTTTCAATTTTCGTTTGGTCAATTTTACAATTTTTAGATTTTTCAAAAATAGCCATTTTCAATGTTTCAAATTTTTGTTTTTCAGTTGATCGATTTGCAAATTTTAATTAAATGTTTCCCAATTTTTCTCCTTGGGTCTTACTTTTAAAGTAGTTTGAAAGCATCTCTGGAACCCCCCATGTCGGGTTTTTGAAGTACTTTGAAAGAATCTCGGGGATCACTTGTGTCTGCTTTTGAAGTATATAATTTGAAAGAATCGCAGTCACCATTTTTGAAGCAGTTTGAAAAAAATTCAGCGGCTATTTGTGTCTGCTCTTTGACGTAGTTTGAAAGAATCCCGGGGACCTCTTGTGTTTTGTTTCTGAAGTAGTTTGAAAGAATCTCGGAGACCACTTGTGTCTGGTTTTTGAAGTAGTTTGAAAGAATCTCAGTCAGCATTTTTTGTCTCTTGTTTTTGAAGCAGTTTGAAAAAATTTCAGTGGCTATTTGTGTCTGGTTATTGAAGTAGTTTTAAAGAATGTCGGGGACCATTTCTGTCTTGATTTTTGAAGTAATTTGAAAGAATCTCGGAGATCATTATGTCTGGTTTTTGAAGTAGTTTGAAAGAATCTGCGGAATACCGTGTGTCTGGTTTTTGAAGTAGTTTGAAAAAATCTCGGAGGCTATTTGTGTCCGGTTTTTGAAATAGTTTGATCGAATCTCGAGCACCTTTTATCTGGTTTTTGAAATAGTTTTGAAAGAATCTCGGGGACCACCTTTGTGTGGTTTTGAAGTAGTTTAAAAGAATCTTGGAGGCTCTTTGTGTCTGGTTATAGAAGTAGTTTGATCGAAACTCGAGCACCTTTTAGCTGGTTTTTGAAGTAGTTTTGAAAAAATCTCGGGGATCACTTTTGTGTGGTTTTTGAAGTAGTTTGAAAGAATGTCGAAATCTATTTGTGTCTGGTTATTGAAGTAGTTTTAAAGAATGTCTGGGACCATGTGTGTCTTGATTTTTGGAGTAATTTGAAAGAATCTCTGTCACCATTTTTTGTCTCTTGTTTTTGAAGTAGTTTGAAAGAATCTCGGAGGCTATTTGTGTATGGTTATTGAAGTAGTTTGATCGAATCTCGAGCACCTTTTATCTGGTTTTTGAAGTAGTTTTGAAAGAATCTCGGGGAATACCTTGTGTCTGGTTTCTGAAGTAGTTTGAAAAAATCTCGGAGGCTATTTGTGTCTGGTTATTGAAGTAGTTTTAAAGAATGTCTGGGACCATGTGTGTCTTGATTTTTGGAGTAATTTGAAAGAATCTCTGTCACCATTTTTTGTCTCTTATTTTCGAAGTAGTTTGAAAGAATCTCGGAGGCTATTTGTGTATGGTTATTGAAGTAGTTTGATCGAATCTCGAGCACCTTTTATCTGGTTTTTGAAGTAGTTTTGAAAGAATCTCGGGGAATACCTTGTGTCTGGTTTCTGAAGTGGTTTGAAAAAATCTCGGAGGCTATTTGTGTCTGGTTATTGAAGTAGTTTGAAAGAATCTCGAGCACCTTTTATCTGGTTTTTGAAGTAGTTTTGAAAGAATCTCGGGGAATACCTTGTGTCTGGTTTTTGAAGTAGTGTGAAAAAATCTCGGGGGCTATTTGTGTCTGGTTATTGAAGTAGTTTGATCGAATCTCGAGCACCTTTTATCTGGTTTTGAAGTAGTTTTGAAAGAATTTCGGGGAATACCTTGTGTCTGGTTTTTGAAGTAGTTTGACAGAATCCCGGAGGCTATTTGTGTCTAGTTTTTGAACTAATTTGATCGAATGTCGAGCACCTTTTAGGTGGTTTTTGAAGTAGTTTTGAAAGAATCTCGGGGACCACTTTTATGTGGTTTTTGAAGTAGTTTGAAATAATCTCGGAGGCTATTTGTGTCTGGTTATTGAAGTAGTTTTAAAGAATGTCTGGGACCATGTGTGTCTTGATTTTTGGAGTAATTTGAAAGAATCTCTGTCACCATTTTTGTCTCTTGTTTTTGAAGTAGTTTGAAACAATCTCGGAGGCTATTTGTGTATGGTTATTGAAGTAGTTTTAAAGAATGTCTGGGACCATGTGTGTCTTGATTTTTGGAGTAATTTGAAAAAATCTCTGTCACCATTTTTGTCTCTTGTTTTTGAAGTAGTTTGAAAGAATCTCGGAGGCTATTTGTGTATGGTTATTGAAGTAGTTTGATCGAATCTCGAGCACCTTTTATCTGGTTTTTGAAGTAGTTTTGAAAGAATCTCGGGGAATACCTTGTGTCTGGTTTTTGAAGTAGTTTGAAAGAATCCCGGAGGCTATTTGCGTCTAGTTATTGAAGTAATTGATCGAATCTCGAGCACCTTTTAGGTGGTTTTTGAAGTAGTTTTGAAAGAATCTCGGGGACCACTTTAGTGTGGTTTTTGAAGTAGTTTGAAACAATCTCGAAGGCTATTTGTGTCTGGTTATTGAAGTAGTTTTAAAGAATGTCTGGGACCATTTGTGTCTTGATTTTTGGGGTAGTTTGAAAGAAGCTCTGTCACCATTTTTTGTCTCTTGTTTTTGAAGCAGTTTGAAAGAATCTGGAGAATACCTTGTGTCTGGTTTTTGAAGTAGTTTGAAAGAATCTGGGGAATACCGTGTGTCTGGTTTTTGAAGTAGTTTGAAAGAATCTCGGAGGCTATTTGTGTCTGGTTATTGAAGTAGTTTGATCGATTCTGGAGCACCTTTTATCTGGTTTTTGAAGTAGTTTTGAAAGAATCTCGGGGACCACTTTTGTGTGGTTTTTGAAGTAGTTTGAAAGAATCTCGAAGGCTATTTGTGTCTGGTTATTGAAGTAGTTTTAAAGAATGTCGGGGACCATTTGTGTCTTGATTTTTGGAGTAATTTGAAACAATCTCTGTCACCATTTTTTGTCTCTTGTTTTTGAAGCAGTTTGAAAGAATCTCGGAGGCCATTTGTGTCTGGTTTAATAAAGTAGTTTGATCGAATCTCGAGCACCTTTTATCTGGTTTTTGAAGTAGTTTTGAAAGAATCTCGGGGAATACCTTGTGTCTGGTTTTTGAAGTAGTTTGAAAGAATCTCGGAGGCTATTAGTGTCTGGTTATTGAAGTAGTTTGATCGAATCTCGAGCACATTTTTATCTGGTTTTTGAAGTAGTTTTGAAAGAATCTCGGAGAATACCTTGTGTCTGGTTTTTGAAGTAGTTTGAAAGAATCTCGGAGGCTATTTGTGTCTGGTTATTGAAGTAGTTTGATCGAATCACGAGCACCTTTTATCTGGGTTTGAAGTAGTTTTGAAAGAATCTCGGGGAATACCTTGTGTCTGGTTATTGAAGTAGTTTGAAAGAATCCCGGAGGCTATTTGTGTCTAGTTATTGAAGTAATTTGATCGAATCTCGAGCACCTTTTAGGTGGTTTTTGAAGTAGTTGTGAAAGAATCTCGGGGACCACTTTTGTGTGGTTTTTGAAGTAGTTTGAAAGAATCTCGAAGGCTATTTTTGTCTGGTTATCGAAGTAGTTTTAAAGAATGTCTGGGACCATTTGTGTCTTGATTTTTGGAGTAGTTTGAAAGAATCTCTGTCACCATTTTTTGTCTTTTGTTTTTGAAGCAGTTTGAAAGAATCTGGAGAATACCTTGTGTCTGGTTTTTGAAGTAGTTTGAAAGAATCTGGGGAATACCTTGTGTCTGGTTTTTGAAGTAGTTTGAAAGAATCTCGGAGGCTATTTGTGTCTGGTTATTGAAGTAGTTTGATCGAATCTCGAGCACCTTTTATCTGGTTTTTGAAGTAGTTTTGAAAGAATCTTGGGAACCACTTTTGTGTGGTTTTTGAAGTAGTTTGAAAGAATCCCGGAGGCTATTTGTGTCTAGTTATTGAAGTAGTTTGATCGAATCTCGAGCACCTTTTAGCTGGTTTTTGAAGTAGTTTTGAAAGAATCTCAGTGACCACTTTTGTGTGGTTTTTGAAGTAGTTTGAAAGAATCTCGAAAGCTATTTGTGTCTGGTTATTGAAGTAGTTTTAAAGAATGTCTGGGACCATTTGTGTCTTGATTTTTGGAGTAGTTTGAAAGAATCTCTGTCACCATTTTTGTCTCTTGTTTTTGAAGCAGTTTGAAAGAGTCTGGAGAATACCTTGTGTCTGGTTTTTGAAGTAGTTTGAAAAAATCTGGGGAATACCTTCTGTCTGGTTTTTGAAGTAGTTTGAAATAATCTCGGAGGTTATTTGTGTCTGGTTATTGAAGTAGTTTGATCGAATCTCGAGCACCTTTTATCTGGTTTTTGAAGTAGTTTTGAAAGAATCTCGGGGACCACTTTTGTGTGGTTTTTGAAGTAGTTTGAAAGAATCGCGAAAGCTATTTGTGTCTGATTATTACTGAAGTAGTTTGAAAGAATCTCAGCGACCTCTTGTGTTTGGTTTCTGAAGTACATAGTTTGAAGGAATCTCGGGGATCACTTGTGTTTGGTTTTGAAGTAATTTGAAAGAATCTCAGTCACCATTTTTTGTCTCTTGTTTTTAAACAAGTTTGAAAAAAATTCAGCGGCTATTTGTGTCTGGTTTTTGAAGTAGTTTGAAAGAATCTCGGGGATCTATTGTGTTTGGTTTCTGAAGTAGTTTAAAAGAATCTCGCCGATCTATTGTGTCTAGTTTTGGAAGTAGTTTAAAAGAATTTCGGAGGCCATTTGTGTCTAGAATCTGGGGCACCTTTTGTCTGGTTTTTGAAGTAGTTTGAAAGAATCTCAGTCACACCATTTTTTGTCTCTTGTTTTTGGAGGAGTTTGAAAAAATTTCAGTGGCTATTTGTGTCTGGTTATTGAAGTAGTTTTAAAGAATGTCGACGACTATTTGTGTCTTGATTTTGAAGTAGTTTTAAAGAATGTCGAGGGCTATTTGTGTCTTGATTTTGAAGTAGTTTTAAAGAATTCGGAAACCCTCGTTTAGTAACCGTTGTGTTTGCAGCCAGCAGTGCGAGCGACATCTCGGTCCCCAACACGCCCATTTCCCGGAACCGGGAAGTGGTCAACGTGTGTCCAAACGCCGACGACTCCACCAAGAAGGCCAAATCAATCGGAGGCTCCGTGAGCGAAATCGGAGTGGACGAGCTCGTGGACATCCCTAGGGAGAGAATGAGCCAGATGTTCCTATTCCAGAAGAAACAAAAGCGCGGCGTTATCGACGTATGGTGGCTGTACGACGACGGCGGTCTAACCCTCCTTCTCCCCTACATCATCAGTACCAGACGAAATTGGAACAACTGCAAACTGCGAGTCTTCGCTTTGGCCAACAAGAGGGACGAACTCGAGCTGGAGCAGCGCAACATGGCCAGCTTGTTAGCCAAATTCAGGATCGATTATTCCGACTTGCAGGTGGTGTCGGACTTCACGAACAAACCCAGCGACACGACTTTGCAGTTCTTCGACCATCTCATAGCCGACTTCCGGAAGCCCGAGAATCGGAACGATCCGGATTCAGGTGAGTTGGATTTAATTCAGTCTTGGTTTTACTGGGTTTTGCGAAATAGTTCAAGTGACCGATGCGGAGCTTCTCGCTGTCAAAGACAAGACTCACCGCCATCTGCGCCTGCGCGAGCTTTTGTACGAGCACTCGATCGACGCCAACATGATCGTGATGACGCTGCCCATCCCGAGGAAGAGCATCGTTTCCGCCCCACTTTACTTAGCTTGGTTGGAAGTCCTGACCAGGGATATGCCCCCGATGTTGTTAGTCAGGGGGAACCAAACGTCCGTCCTTACGTTTTACTCTTAATTCTGGTGGTATTTTATTTATGAACAATCTCATGTTTGGATAATACTCGCAGAAGACTCGGAAATGTATTGTAGTTGATACGAGCTTAGGTTTGTATGTTGGTGCAAGTAGGAACTAATGTAGTATTTTTATACACTTGACAATCAATGAGTATTATATTTTTTAATTTCGCTGTTTGGAAAAGTATTATAGTACCTAGTAGAGTAAGTTTATTTAATCTGTATGAGTCAATTAGCACAATAAAATTGTCTACATTTTTTATGAAGTAGCACTTTATTTCGTTTTCGTACGCCATGGGGTCTCCGAGGTGGGATTTTGTTTCTACCGATACGATACGAAGCGATAAATGACAAGGACGAAAATATAAATTTCAGATGCGAAAGAAAAAGAACACCACATTTTATCGGTACCGATATTTTATCGCTATCGAAACAAAATCCCACCAGTTCGTTTAAAGAGAGAGCCAGAAAATATAAAGAGGTGGGGGTATGGGAGAGAAATTGACATAACCGTACATAGAGAATGGTGGAGAGGTATAGAATGAAAGGGGTAGAAAGAAAGACTCAGTAGGGGTAAGAGAAGAGTAGAAGGAGGAGAGACAAAGAGATCGAAAAAAAAACGGGAAACGGGAACAGAAAGAGAAAATAAGAAGGGGGAAGTGAGGAGTAACAAGAAGATAACGAAGAATTGGCAAAGATAGAGAAAAAGAGGATGGAAGAATGCGGAAAGAAAGAGGACGGTAAAACGGAAGTAATGGGAGGAAATACAGAGAATGGCCAGGGAGAGAAAAAGAAGAGTGAATAAGAGAACAAAAGAAAAAATGGAAAAGAAGAGACAAAGAGAGAGGTGAAGAAAAGAGAAAGCTGGGGGAGTATAAAGGGAGAAATGAGGAAGGAAAGAGTGAGGGAAGAGGAGTAAAAGTGGGAAAGTGTCAGAAAATAATATAGCGATAGAGAGAACGGAAAAAAGTGGGGAGACGAATTGAGAGAACGCCACACATACAAGCGTAAAGACTTATATGAAGGCGCCAAAAGAAAGTGTTAAAGTAGGGAAAAGAGGCAAGTAACAGGAGGAGAAACAAAGATAAAGGAAAAGAACCATAAAAGCGGGAAAAGATGGGAGGAAGAGAGGGAAAGAGAAGAAAAGAAGAGCGAGAGATGAAAGCTACAGAAGAAGGAACAGAAAGAGCAAATAAGAATGAGGCAGGGAGGAGTAATAGGAGGAAACGCAAGAAGTATTGGCAAAGAGAGTGAAGGAATCAAAAAAAGGGGAAAACAGGAGTAACAGGGAAAAGCAGAACGGACACGAGAGAGGGGAATAAGAGAAGAATGAAAAAAACAGCAGAGAAAGGACGAAAACAGGGGAATAGAGAGGTGGAAAAAGGAGAAAGCCGGTGGAGAAAGAAAGAGGAGAAAAAGTAGGAAAGGAAGCCAAAAAATATAGAGAGAAAAAATTGAGGCAACGGCACACAGCGAGGTATAGAGAGAAGGGATAGAAAGAGAGTAAATAGGGGGAAAAGAGAAGCAAAAAGAAGTATTGGCAAAGAGAGAGAAGGAAAGGAGAGAACGAAAAATTAGAGAAAAAGAGACGAATCAAAAAGAAGGGAAAAAGAGGAGTAACGGGGGAAGAGCAGAACGGGCACGAGAAAAGTGGATAAGAGAGGAGCGAAAAAAAGAACAAAAGGAGAAAGAATCAAAAAACGTGATCCGAGATCACAAAGACCCTATATTTTTCGAATAAGCACGTCGAAATCTACGTCCCAGAATTTTTTGCGGATTTTTAGACAACTTTTTAAAAATCTCAAAATTTCTAATCCTAACTTTTTTTGTTGTACTATTGTTACAAGATTTATTTCTTTTTTCAAAAGAAAAATAAATGGGAGAACGGGCGGGTGGGCAGGGCTAAATTTAACCTTTTCTAGAGAATCTTTTATAAGCTAGCAATAGCCCCGCCCACCCTCCTCCGTTTCATTTCAGTTACTAGGCTTAATATTGTTCAGTCTTATCGTTGCAAGTACTAGCCTACGGAAGCGTAGAATGGTCAGGTGGAATTTTTTTTGGAAAAAACTCTACATGCCGAGATTAAACTCGACATATCGAGAAAAAACTCGACATGTCGAGAAAAAACTCGACATGTTGAGAAAAAACACGGCATGTCGAGAAAAAACTCGACATGTCGAGATTGAACTCGACATGTAGACTTTTTAATGACATGCCAGTAGTAAATGCGTGTCATTAGGCAACTTTCACCACTAATTACCCGCGCCTCTAATTACCAGCGCCTTAATAACTAGCCCACCAAAATGACCACTGTATTAAAAGTGCCGCCTGCTCTAATGAATTAATGAATCTATATTAATAAAATTGAATCGCCGAAATGTATGTATGCCCATAACTTCAGAACGGCTGCACCGAATCGGACGATTCTTTTTTTTACGTGTTCCTTATCGTCAGGACAAGGTTTATATGTAAGAAAATTTATAAAAAATAAGACGGCTAAAAGATTAAAAAAAAAAAAATTTGCATGGGAATCTCCACTTCGAATGAATTTGAATAGTTGGCGTTTCTGACGGACCTGTCGCCTAACTGACGTGTCATACAAAACTATTTCTTCCGTGCGATTGTGAAAAGTATTATTGCATTTTAAGTCGTTGTTTGTTTTTTCGTAACAAGAAACGTCGTTTATTTTAAGAAAAGTGTTCGTTAAAGTGAATTTAGTTACGCATTGCGAAAGTTTCTTATTAATTTTGATCTGCCATTCTATTTACGTATATTCACTTTGTTGGTTTCGACAAAACCTCAAACTTTACCGTTATTCGAGGATTTAATTTGAAATTTTCAATATTTTAAAATTCTCAAGACAAAATTTACAGATTTGATTGACGGTGAAAATAATTCTGTGTCGTTTTATGCCGAGAAGACGACAAGCTGACATACGTCCATGAAGTCAATCAAATGTGCGACGAACTACCTCAGGTGCAAATCGCAATGATTTATTTCATGGGTAATTCGGATACGGAAGTTGATCAGCGTTGTGCTCATAATCAACATAATAGTCAAACATTGAAGCGAGACATTGGGTGGTATGAATAAAACCGAGTAGATACTCATATTCGAAGTACGAAGTACCTACTTGCAAACATTGTATCTCCCCGGACACAAATTGAACATCTACGTGTTTTGTGAGCATTTAATCTAAAAATGAGCATCGGTGTGGCAAATGACTATTTCTCCTCATAAATAATAAATTAAATGTAATATATTTTTGTTTCCTTAATAATACAAAGTTAACAAAGTTAGTTGAGTTACAAAAGTCTCTTTTGCTCCACGTTGGCCACCAACGAGCGATTTTCAAGATTTTTGTGAAACTTTGCTGGTTTTGAATTTGAATTTTCTGCACTCGATAGTTGATGCTCAGCAAGAACCACGGGAAGGTCTGGAGCAGATCTCGCTAGGAAAGGAGAGGGCTAGGATTTGTTAATGAGGGATAAAACGTTATACAGTACAATACAATGGAAATACAATACAGGTACCTACAATCTAACTACAATACAGAATACACTACAGATACAGATACAATTCAGATACAATACAAATGCAAAGTTAGTAGCCAATACACCACCGAAAGAAATTGCACCAAAAATTGAGAATGTTGCAAAATGAAAACCCAAGCAAGCACACCCATGGAACTCGGAACGAAATCTATTGGTCGCAGCGCTCACACGCCCAAGGGAGAACGCAGCCGCATAAATCCAAGGCCGACTGACCTCATCCTTATAGGAGATGCGACCCAGCGTCTAAGGGCCAACAATACCCCCCCCCCCCCAGGCCAAAGCGTCTGACGACATGGAGAATTCAGACTCTGAACCAAAGAATGCACTGTTGCAAAATGAAAACCCAAGCAAGCACACCGATGGAACTCGGAACGAAATCTATAGGTCGCAGCGCTCACACGACCAAGGGAGAATGCAGCCGCATAGATACAGGGCCGACTGACCTCATCCTTTTAGGATGATGAACCTCATCCGTTTAGGATGATGACCCAGCGTCTAAGGGCCAACAGAACCCCCCCAGGCCAGAGCGTCTGACGACATGGAGAATTCAGTCCCGGAACCAAAGAATGCACTGTTGCAAAATTAAAACCCAAGCAAATGCACCATGAAAACAAAGCATTTGCACCACTGGAGCTAAATTGGCAAGACCCAAGTTAAGTTAGTAACACATACAATATACAGTACAAAATGCTTAAATTACAAAAGTTACAATATACAAATTTCTCCACGTTTGCCACCAAAGAGCGATGACTTTGCTCGCTCGTTGCTGTTGCCCAGCAAGAACCAAACAATACGAGGAGGTCTGGAGTGCGTCTTGCCATTAAAAGAGAGGACTAAGGTTTGATAGCATGGGTGAAGGACACCGTATTTTGTAAATTTGGACGCCGTACTTTAAAAATGATGAATACGGTATTTTGTGAATTATGAACGCAGTACTTTGTATATTCTAAAGGCGTACTTTATCAGTCCTGAATGCATGTTATTAACAACATATTTAAAAAAAAATCGGGCATTTTTGGAAAAATATCCACTTTCCTTCACAGCACTTAACAAAAAACATTTTCGCTAATATTTATTAACAATAAATTAGAAATTCGCGAACATGTGCTACTTTTAACCCAAAACGAAGCTCCAATGTTGCTGCTACCAGACCGGAATCAAAACTGAGCAGAAAGGATCGAAAATGTGACCTTTTATCTGGTAGCTCACGTGACAGTGACATCATCGTACATCACGATGAGATTGCAAAAATTATTTTTCATATTTTAGATCAGAAATTTTTTTTTTTTTCGGGGTTAATGCAACAACGTTTAAACAAACTAATTTGTTTTTACTAACCTCGTGTTCTTAGGAAAACGGATTTCGGTTTAATTATCATATATTGATAGTTATCATATTTGAACATTATGAATTGTATTAATTATGTTTAAATTTTATTTAATTATATCGCGAAAATGTATAGCTTTGACCCTCCAACTTCAATCGTTTCGAAAATTTATCCAAAATGTAAACATTGTCGACTAAACGAATCACGGAATCCGATAAATTAAAACTGAAGTCGTACTTACCCTGTTTTCGGTCCTTTTCGGAAAAATATCCATTTTCGTTCGTGTTCACAGCACTAACACAACATATTTTCCGCAATATGTATTAATAATAAACTAGAAATTCGCTAAAACGCTCCACTTTTACGCCGAAATGAAGCGAC